GCCGCACTCTCCCGAGTGCGCCACGGGCTCGGCCCTATGAATCTTCTTTTGACATCCCTGCAGGTGCCCCTGTCATTGCTTGAACACTTCCAATGATGGGAAAGCTCCACCTGCATGAAGTGCTGCAGAGCTGCAAGCAGGAGCAGGGAGCAGTTACCTGGGGGTCCTGGCACGTGTCCCTGGCCTTCAAACCTCCCCTCATGCTAGAGCCACCGTGTCTGAAGTTCTACTATTAGTTGTTTATTTCTTTTGGTTCCCTTTCCTCAGGTCTCTTAAAATTCAAACATTCCTAGAAGTCCTTGCTATCAAACCAAAGCATTCATGACTTGTTTTTTACATCAAGTCCCTTGAGAATGTTAAATAAGCACCCCATCTTCCCTGAGAAATTGCCCTCCAGCCTGATGGTCCTGGCTCCTTTCCTTTATCTCTCTTTTCTTCCTTTCTAAAACAAGGATAAATGGTACTGTTTTGTCAGTTGCTAATATATGTTCAGAAATAGTTAAGTGGTAATGAGACCTATTGTTTAGGGAGATTCAGACCCTCTTCTTGGAGCATCTATAAAAGGTAAATGTGACGAGACTCCCATCTGGTGGTTAGAATCCCAGTGAAGATTTAGCAGAAATGTATCGCTGGCGTTCATAATGAACTGGGGCGTACAGAAACCAAGCCGTCCTCATGATTAAGGTGGTCACAGGTCCTGGAAACATCTCAGCTTGCCCAGCTCTCCTAGACTGCCTGAGAACTTGAGTTGGGAGACACCAGTCTGGTGAAGACCAGAAATTGAGATGAAGGAAGGACAGTAGGAAGCAGAGAAGCACCAGTTATGTTAAAAAAACAACAGCAGCTCAGCACCTCCTTCGACCTCCTCCAGTGACTGGCTGGCTGTAAGAAACCTGATTAACATTCAGCTTTTGTATTTGTTCAGCTTTGAAGAACTGCTGTCTTAGACTTGCAAGGCACAATAGAGATTTCTAATTTTTGAGAAAGTTGCTCTGAAAATGAGGAGGAAAAAAAAAGAGAGGATAAATACCAAGTTCCAACAGCGCCACCTTCTGTCCATAATGTGGTAAGGTAAGCATTCCACATGGAGTCCTGGGTCACATTCTGCCTGTGTTCTCTGCCCACACACTCCTCGGGTAAACCGTAACTTGGGAGGGCAGTGACCATCTCTTATGCAACTTTGGGC